ATAAATACTTTGTAATTTAAGGTATGAGTGCTACTTTTGATACTTAGTGACTTATCCTGCATGTCTTCTTTCTCATTTCTACCATCTGGATTTTGCCCCAGTATAGACGACTAGCAAATTCAGTTTATAAGGTTTGTTTGAATTTTACTAAATTCAAAAGTGATAAGTGATATCAACAAAACAATTTGCAGTTTATCACAGTAAAGTTACTTCGATTTGAGTTCTTTAGTCTCAAGTTGAAAATCCTTGAAATTGCCTTATGTTTCAGAATCTAGACATTCCTTTCCTTGAAACCATCCTAAAATTCAGTCCGGGTACAGACTAATTCACTCAACAAGCAGCTATTTGCCCATGTGTCACTAAGTAGAAGTAGCATGCTCTTTTGTGGATGGAGGGATTAGGTCAACTAATAACTCTTCTTGCTCCAGGGGGACAATCAGCTATACCTAGTATTGGTGAACAAAAAGTGTGTACAGGGTTGGATATTCCAATATTTAACTTCCCTTAAGATTACAAAGGGTTTTTTTCCAAGTGTTTAGATTATATGTCCTGTTTCTCAAATTTATTAATACTTTACATTTCTTCAGAAGCATGGAGAACAGTATATTCTCTTTTAGAACAATGACTGGAAATCTGGTGTCAAGTGCCTACATTAGTTGCCTTCTTTCTGGGCTATGCAAACCCAAATCGCCATCTTTTTTAGTTGAGGGTGATGTTGAAGTTATTTTATGGGTTTGTCTTTTGGTTCTTTGTGGTGTTTTTGGTTTTTTGGTTTTTTGTTTCATTTTTGGGGTTTTTTAAGTTCTTAACTCTTCCCAAGAGTCACTATAATTTTTCACATTTCTGGTGTGTTGTCTGAAAGTTGATAAAGAAGGTTTTAATGGAAATACTTGGTAATATGTAATTTCTCTAAAGTGGGTGGGCATGGTAGAGGAGGAAATACTGCTTCTGACATTTGTACTTCCTGTTAATATCTGTGGACAAGCACGAAGCCAGCTTTTAGGGCAGTATATTATAATTTTAACATTGGAATCTTACCTGAAGTTCATATTTGTTTGTGTATACCTGCTGCTACCTGTCCACTCATACTGTAAGTCATAATATGAAACTCTCATTTGCTGAGCACGAAAGGATCTGGTTATATGAGGCATGTTTTGCAGAGGAAAAGGACCTGTCATTTAAGTAAAGGAGTATTTCTTTCTTCTGTAACAATGGGTCTTCTAGCTGCAAGGGTCAAAAGCCTGAAAGCTTTTAGATCTTGTGTGCTCTTTGTTGCAAGTCTGTGTTTATACAGGTAAAGTCATTTTTATTGTTGTGTAATATACTGTTACAGGTGTTACTGTGCAGATATTTTGGGGAGTTCGTAAAATTTTTCATGACTTTGAATGAGTTTTCAGTTGTTTTGGTTTTCTTGGCATAACATAGTGTTGTTCCAGAGCAAGATAGCGTGGTATCTTTGTGTCTTTAATAACCTCTTATTCTTCTTTCTTACGTTTTAGATGCTGGCATCACCATCAACATCAGGTCAGCTGTCTCAGTTTGGGGCAAGTTTATACGGGCAACAAAGTAAGAATTGTTTTTGTTAATAACATTTATTTTATGTTAAATATATTACAGTTTGACATTCTGGAACATGCAGATGGCTTTGTTTTCTGGTGATTATAAAAATGACAGTATGTCTCCTTATGTACAATTATTTTAAGATACATTTTGCTTTGCTTAGTATGCTTTTTTGCAGTGTTTAGTGTGCAAAATGTCATATTGTCACTTTATAACTGCTAAATATCTAAATACAATCATACTATAAAATTTTTCTGTGATTTAACAGACTCTCTGAAGGAAAACCTAAAGGAAGAAAGCTGAGCCAAAATGAGCCTAGTTCAGAAAACTATGTAAGGAAGAGAAGGAAATTATACTTTAAATATAACTGATACTTCACGTTCTACAGGAGCACAAGAAATCTTGTGTATGTGCTTGGCAACTTGCATTTGGCAAAGAGCTATGCCATTAAAATTATTCTTTCTGCATCACTGTTTTTTTCTTTCTGGTAGCTTAATGATTTCATGTGTCTGCCAGTCATATGGGCAGCGTTGCAATAGAAGAGCTATAGGGCAGTGGTCACGATGTAATGCTAACTTAAGGACCACCTAACTTATGGCCAGTGTTGAGAACTGCACCTCCTGGTAACTGAGAGGTGCACTCAGGCAGTGACTCAGAATATCTGAGTTAGATACAGTTCCACAAGTAAAACTGGTTGTGAATATCATCTCTCCTGTGTCACTGTATGCTTTTAAATGTTTTCTGCTCTCTTGCTAAGTGCATCTGACTCAGATTCCAAGAAGTGTCTTCAGAGTACTTTAGAGAGTCTGGACTTTATCTAGACAAACTAAAAGCTGTGTTTGCTAGATGCATAGCTTTCCCAACTTCTTTTGGCTTTCTTCAAATGGTTTAAAAAATACAGTGGAGTTTTGGGGTTTTCTTTGGTTTGTTTTTTTTTGGTGGCAGTGGTTCTTTTGGAAGCTTTTTTTTTCCCTCAGTGGCTGTTGATGAGTGACCCTGTAATGTAAACTGCCATTTTATTATGCTACTGAGATTTATATGAGCAGCTTCTAGCCAGTCCGAGAGTCACATTTGGCTTTTATGTGATGATTCTGCCACTGTTGAACCTTTCATACTTCACTGTATACAGATGCTGAAATAGTTTATTCATTCTGTTTATCAAAGTTATTTCTTGTTAATTTTTTAATGTAATTTTTTAGTCACCTTGGTTTTTCATTCACTTGGTTGCTGTACCTAGGATGTAATCTCTGTAACATGGAGACATGCCTAAAACCTTGAATGTGAATATTATCAGGTATCAGTTTCTACCAGGTCTTGAGAAAAAGGGGAAGAGACTTTTTTGTTGAAGTCATGCTTATGATTAAAATACTCTTTAGGAAAAACAAAGGTGATAGTGCCTATGTACTTTTAATGATTGGTAGCTGTCAGTCATTAAGCACGATACTATGTTACAGCATTAATGTAACTTAAACTTGACTAGTAGGAAGGAAATTGGCCATTTCATTGGTCTTCCTCCAACATAGCCCATGTAGATCTGGTCTCAATTAGAAAAGTGGAAAAAGAAAGTGTAAGAAAAAAGGGGTTGGGATTTTTTCTTTCTTCTTACAGCGAGTATATCGACTTCCCCTCCTTGCCAGGAATATGGTTCTACTTCACTGTAACAACCCTCATTTAAAGAAAGCCAATAAGAAGAAATAACTATCAGTCTAAAACTGGCTTTGCTAAAACAAATGCTTACACAAAATTAAGTTGAATATCCTAATTGTTTTTTGCTGTGCTATATCTAGTTTGGAAGTGTATGTATTTTTTCTTTACCATTTTATTTTTAAAATCCTATGTAACTGTTAATCAACATGAAATATTATTTACAATACATATTTATACTCATTGAAATTATTCTGATGCAGCAAATTGCCAAAATATTTATAGTGAATACTTTGATGTAATCAACTTTTAATGAAATGTTAGGATGCTTGTTGTAGCAAGTCAGGCTACCTCTTAATCTGAATGTATAGAGATAAATTCAAGTTTTACACATTTGAGTTTTATTGCAAACTCCCTGGATTTGCAAACTGTAGGGTAGGACACAGACTGGAATTCTTACAGTGTAAAAGCTGAATGACTGGAGATTTCTTCAGACCTTGTCCATGATAATAATTTGAACATATGCTGTGTCTGTTCTTTGCATTCTTAGTATTTAACCACGTTATACATTGGCAAGTTCTGCTGGGGTGTTCTACCATGGGAGAGTGCTGATCCATCAGAATTTTCTTTTGTTTGGTCTGCAAGATGAGGTTTTGAGTTCTGTCACAGTAGCCTTCTGCCAAAGCAGTGGGAGCTGTCACAGCCATAATTTTTTATATGCTAAGTTTTTTATTATTGCTTTATTGCACTAAATGACGTTGTCTTGTCTTTGAACATAATTCAGAAACTTCTTAAGCCCAGAAGAGTGATGTGAGAATGATGAAAAGCTTAATAAAGTTTTTAGACATTTTGAAACAGGGCAGTAACTGGTGATTTTCTGCTGTTCTCAGTTACAGTAATTTAATTTTTTACCTCACTGAAGTATTTGCTTTATTCTGTCACACACAGTTGTTTGTGTGGAAAATACTTCTGATCACATTGTTAAAACCATTCTGTATGTTTTTAAATGCTAATAGAGAGCTGTTAAAATTATGTTTGCTTTCTTTTTTGATAAGGTCAAACTTGATCACAGACACTGAAGTATTGTTGCTGTAAAGAAGCAACTTAAACTGTAAAGAGAGAATTGGCCTCAAATGTTGCTTTCATTGTCCTAAAAACAGTGTTACTGTTAATTAAAGATCCATCCCTTTCTTTTTTGTAACAGATTTGCTTAATTTTTAGCAAGACAAATCAGTGTTCTAAATACTGGTCAAATGCATACTTATTTATTCAAAAGTAATTAGCATATTTCTTGAATGCAGTTACTGATTTTCCTAAAATGCTGCCTTCTTTTGAGATAATTTGTAGATTTTTATGTTCTTTCTGAAAAACTCAAAATTCGACCTTTCATTTACAGTATATGTCTCGAAGGAAACAAAATTTTCTAAGTGACTTCAGAGAAATTCCTTAACGAGCCTTTCCAAAATAAAACAGAAATGGGGCTAAATTTGGTAATAGTTTCTACTATCCAAACGAGGACTTAATTTTTACACTGCACTTTCCTTCAGTCTTTACACTTTTTTGTACATTGTCGGCATAAATTGTTTCCATCTATACCTGATGGAGAAGACCTTGTTCCTGATTGCTCTATATCTCCACCCCTCTGAATTTTTTTTCAATAGGTGCACTAGGCCTTCCAATGAGGGGAATGAGCAACAATACCCCTCAGTTAAATCGCAGCTTATCACAAGGCACTCAGTTACCGAGCCACGTAACGCCAACAACAGGGGTACCAACAATGTCACTTCACACGCCTCCATCTCCGAGCAGGTATTTATCAATAGCCGATATTTCTGCAATTGTGTCTTACTGCAGAGCTCTTGTTGAATGTTCTGCATATTTTGCCTCATACTTTACAGTCTGATAAATTAAAAAAAAAAAAAAGAAAAAAGAAAAAAAGTGATTTCTATGGACCACTGCCTGTGTTAGGGAAATATTACTATAAAAAAAGTAAGGATTTACTGTAAGACAGTATTTTTGTACTTGAAGGACAAATTGCTGGCAAATTCTGCTTCAGAATGTAAGAGGTTGTTATTTGATTGTACAGTTAAAATTCTGCTATGATGTCATACACTGCATAAGAATATAAAGATAATAGGTCTGAAGTGCTCATTAGAAAAGAGCAGTAATATCTTTTCATATGTATAATACTTGGGTGTTTATCTAAACCTGATTAAGGACTTGATTAGCATATAATGGGTCATTTGGTAATTCTGAAGAAATCCAGAACTGCATTAATTATAGAGAGTAATCCAAACACGTTATTTGGTCGCTAAGCACAAATTAAGTTGCAACAACTTGGAGTCCGTCCTGCGTTAGTAATCTAAATGAGTAGCCAAATACTGTTGTACAGATTCATCTCTGTGGATGATTTTTCTCTTTCAGGGGGATATTGCCTATGAATCCTAGGAATATGATGAACCACTCCCAGGTTGGTCAGGGCATTGGAATTCCCAGCAGGACAAACAGCATGAGCAGTTCAGGGTTAGGCAGCCCCAACAGAAGCTCTCCAAGCATAATATGTATGCCAAAGCAGCAACCCTCTCGACAACCTTTTACTGTGAACAGGTAAGGCTCTTTAATGAGACCATCCCTGTACACCCATAGACATCTGGAAATGTAATTTTTGTCCATTAGAATAAATCTTGAAATCTGTGTCGTGTACTCATATCTGGGCAATAAACTTTGACGTTCCTTGTAATGTTCTGTCAGGTCTTTAAAGCTCTTAACCTGAGTTCTCTTTCTGACTATTCAATTTCTGTTGCATCCGCTTTAAAGTATGTGATGTTTCTCATGTAATTCCCAAGATTATTTTTGAAACATAGCTTGAATTTTCAGTTTATGCATCTGGTTTAAAATTATTCATCCAGACCTTTGGGTGGAAGTAAGGCAAAATTTAAAAACATGTTACTCTGGAAGAGTAGTAAACTGATTCAGACACAGTAAGGATCTGCTATTTTACTCTTTGAATTCTGGAATGATACAGAGAACAGTGGCTTGCTATTTGTTAAAGGATTTTGTGCTCTTTTGGATGCCAGAAGTTTTTCAATTGCTTATTCTCTTTTTCTAACTGGGCAGGATACTAACATCATAAATCATTAGTCTTTAACTGTGTTAGAGTGCTGTGTTTATGCTTCATTCATATTGATAAACTTGTAGTAAGCAGTGTCTTAGTTCTAATTATTTAATGTGTGTAGTTACAGCTTAGCATGGCTGACTGCTTTTGAAGCTCAGTTCCATTACCTCATGATGCCTGTGCTCCCAGTTAAGCCCTTTGTCTTCCTTCAGGCCCTTGCTTAGAGGCGTGACTATTAGACGGAGCACAAACAAGCTCATGGTGGTCAGGTGCCACCACTAACCCAATCTAGTATTTTACAAAATAGATAAAGGAAAGTGAAGGCTAACGTCACAGTTACCTGAATCTTAATCAGATTGTTTGGTTTAGTAGTTTCACACTGATACAGGCATACAGATACTGTTCTCAAGCACAGCAAAATAGTGACCTGGTAATAGAAGTTTATGGTCTTGGAGCGTGAAAAGACTTTGTATCTTGCCTCTGATTATGCAGAATTTGCCTTTTCCATCCTGTCTAGTGGCAAGCAGAGCTGATAATTTAAAAATATTTTAAATTATTTTAATACTTTAAAGTATTTTTGAAAATAAAATAAGTATTTTAAAGTATTTTTGAAATTTGAGATCACAAACAGATAAAATAGTAATATACTTAAAAACTCTGTGTGTAGAGGACAATGATTCTGGATATGTTTAAATATCATTCAGCTGTAGGGTAGATAAAAGAATCCTTGTGTGTAGGAACATTTAAATTAAAATGCTCATCTTTTACTGTTTGCATTTCTCACTTTCAATAAGCTACAAGTTTTACAAATTGAGAAGGAAATATCTCTGAAACAATGACTGGCTCTTATTCCACAGTTTATTAACCTATGGAAGTATAGTAGTAGTACATTCCCAATGGCTAATTCGCGTGTTTAACAAAATTTTGAAATTACTCTTGGAGACAAGAATTTATGGCATTTACTTGTCAGGTGCATGAATTATGTGACTTTCAAGAAGCATTTTCTGAATAGTTGCTTAGTTGGAGCAATGAAAGTTTTTAGGTTAGGTTTTTGAACATGAATCATTTTTGAAGGTATTTCAAACTAGAATTAAATGCTTCAGATTTGTAACTGTAAGAAGTTTGCATAGGTAAAATTTCCACTGGGGAACCATTTCTTATTTCTATTTATGGAAACTTCCAAAATATCAGCTTCTATCCTGTTACAGGAGAAAAGTGGATGTTGTGATTTCCCACAGGGCAGCCATTCAGAATTTCACTCAGCTGGGGGCCTACCTTTGGGCTTCTCGACATCTCCGGCTCCCATGGGATGAAACGGATTATTTGTGAAGGTGTCTGTGCAACAACAGTAGTCCTATATGATATTTAGATGTTTTCAAACGTTTTTGCTTGACTATACGAAACTTCAGCTCGTGTCCTTGTATCACAGAGACCATCCCTCTGCTCACATTAATGCCATTTGTACATGGTCATGATTGCACACCATTAACCGTTCAGCTTATAAAGGAATCATGACAAACTTGGTCATTTTCATTATCCAGCTTCCCACCTGCCAATGAATGGATTACAGCCTGACTTTTAACTACTGCATTTAATGCTGCTTCATTTTTGTATATGAAATTATTGAGTAATGATCATGTTAGTCATAACTTGTTTGTTGGGAGATGTCTTAATACACAATGGCTGTTTAAAAACTAAGCTATTTTGAAGTCATTCCAATTAACCTGATTGAGCAGTGCGTGTTGCTGCTGCTCAGTGTTTTCAGAAAATAATTAAAAACCAAGTTCAGGCTAATATGGGTTGCTTAGGCTTGAAATAATTTCAGGTTTTTTCCCCCATAATATCTTCCACTAGAAGTGCAAAGTATGTATATCCTTTTGTCTGACTTCCTGGATTTTTTTCACAGTATGTCTGGATTTGGGATGAACAGGAATCAGGCATTTGGAATGAATAACTCCTTATCAAGTAACATTTTTAATGGAACGGGTGAGTTTACTCTCTTTAATGTTGACCTTAAACAACAGTATTTTTTTTTCAGTAAGTCTAATTAAAATACTTTCTTCTGCTGGAGTGCAACTTTCTAATAATTTTCAGATGTTCCATAGAAACACCGCTCCAAGAGCAGCACTAGATTAACTGGTGCTACTTTATAGCAGTGGATTTTAATACTTTTGAAGACAAAGTGAAAGTATTTCTGTAGTATATTTGCTGTATGTCACATGCCTATAGATTATACTTACTCAGTTAGAAATGCAGAACAGCTCTTGAATTTGAAAAGGGTATTGGAGAAGAAAAGATTTATCCATATTCTATGAAAACATTAGGTATGTAAAAGCAGTGGGAAAGCATTTTTTTTAGTCTCCAACTCCTTTTGAACAGCTGGTTTATCATGTGATCCTTTCAGTCAGTTTAAAGTGTGATTTTTCTCTGGGAATTACTTCTTCACCTGAATTTAATGAACTAGAGAGGGGAAAATATCTTTGTCCATAAACAATTTAGGTTGATGTGTGGTGACATTTCTGTATGTGGCTGCACATTTGAAAGAAGCTGAGGTGCCGGTGATGTCACAAGAGTGGAAGGTTTGGGCATTCCGTAGGACACTGTGACATTTTTATAGAGCTGCAGCTCTAGCCTCACCTACGTAGCATTTCCTGCTGCAAATCAGAAAGTGTTCCCATGTAACTTGCACTGCATTGGCTTTCAGCTGCTTCGGCTTTATCTTACCTTACCTAAGGACAATAGAGCTCTTTGATGCTGCTGCTAATATGGGTTATTCTCTCAAATTTCTTCTTGATCTTCAAATTTAAAACAGATTTTAAAAAAATTCAATACCTATTCTAGAACTGTAATTTTGATAGTTTGCCTGTATTTTACATGTACAGTCTTTAATGCAAGAGGAGTAGACCTTACTAAATGCTACTGAATAGTTGTTGTTTGAATGCAAGCTTCATACTTGTGCTCTTTAGTCTTATAACACAAAGACTGCACTTATTTGTAATAATTACAGAATGAGTAAAAAGATCAACTTGAATGAAAATATGACCTACATTTATCTTGCTCATAATGAAGTCTTTGAAAAAAGTACCGAAGGGAGTACATAAAAATACCTCTTTTTATTGTAGATGGAAGTGAAAATGTGACAGGACTGGACCTCTCAGATTTTCCAGCACTAGCAGACAGAAACAGAAGGGAAGGAAGTGGCAATCCAACTCCATTAATAAATCCTTTAGCTGGAAGGGCACCCTATGGTAAGACCATACTTTTGAAAGCTCTTAGAATGAAATGAAATTTGCTTGATTCACCTTTTGCTGTTTTTAAGTTAATAAACAGTCTTTTCAAAAATGCCAGACAAGTGAGCTGCTAAGACTCATTTTTAAAAATGAAAAATCACCTGATTGGAGACTCCCTTTCATAAGTATTAGAACTCATCTGTTTTAGTTTTACTGTCAGCAGGGATTGTTGGGGGTTTTGGTCTGTGTGGTATGATTGCTCTAAGACTGCTCACTCTATAAATTTCTTTGGGAATAGGTTTTATTCAAATTGCATGTTTACAAGAGCTGTTGATGTCTGAGTAGCAAATTGCAGGAATAGTATTTTATTAGTAGGTGTGTTACTGTGTAAAAAGTCATAAGCTGTAAACATACTGTAAACTTTTGCTGTTTATTGATAGTATTTGTTGTTGTACTGTTCAGTGTCACACTTATGATGAACATCAGATTTCAAAAAATAACCTGTAAGCATCAATTATTACCACTCAGATTCCAAGTATGTGTCATATAATTCTTGCTGTACAGGTTAAAAATAATAAAAGGAAAAACCTTTAGGTGGATACAATTCTTATTATTTGGGTCTTGAAAAAATTCAGGTAAGCTTAGCGTGAGGCACAAAACTTTCTTTTTGTTACTGCTTTAGTAGATTTTGTTACGCATGTTGCATCAGCTACTGTGAAAAGCTGCTTTTATAACCATAAGTTATTTTTGTGACACTTGTCAAATTCTGAACCAAAAATAACCTAGTGTTTTCTAACTATAAAACGCTAGTGTCTTTCAGAGATAGCTCCTACTGTAGTTGGACAAAATAGATACCACATTATCAAGAGCAAGTAGCCTCATGGATTTGGCATAACCAGGGCCCTCTGCATAAGATAGCTGTGAGAAAGAGTTAAACAAGTTAAACTGAATTATTAAACACAGGAAAAAAGTGACTTCCCCACATAAAGACACTTAAAACTCAGACCAAGCATGAGTGGAGACTTAGTACAGTTAGGGGCTTATGTAAGACTTTGTCCAACATAACATGGCTTGGGTTGGAAGGAACCTTAAAGACCATGTAGTTCCAGCTCTGAAAAAAGAAGACAGTATGTGAAAGACTGGTAGAATATAGAAGGGAGATGCACACAGATGTACTTCCAGCACAGAACTTGAATTCAGTGTTAAACAGCACTGCAGCATTAAAATACCTGTAATTGCTCTTGTGCTTAGACTGTTTCCCCATTTTGGTGCTAGCATAGCTGTTTGCATGACTGCATGATAAACCACAAAAAAAAGTTCTCTAAAGAACCACCCTGAGCACCTACTTAGTGCAGCAGATATGTATGGAGGTAGAAACAACCAAAAAATTAAAATGTGAAATACATTGGATGTTGTCATCCAGCACAAAATATGGAGAGCACTTTTGGTTGTGGACAAGAAAGAGAAGGTTTGAAACACAGCAGAGACCTACTTTTCTCATGCTTAGTTATTCAGAAAAACTATACTTCAAATACCTTTGAGATGGAATAAGAATATCCATTAAAGTTAATTCATTATCAATTTTATTCGTGCAGTGGAAGAAATAGTAATAACTCTGGATGAAAAGACAGAACAGCAGAAACAAGATTAACTCAGTGTTGGGTTTTTTTCTTAAATAAAGGAACTTTGATCTTTAATTCCAGAACACTGAAGAAAGTCATATGTTGTCACCTGAACCATTTTAGTCCTATCCATCTACTAAGAATCTTCAAAAAACAGGATCTAGACTTCCTTCTGTCTTCTGTTCCTCTAGTGCAGTGTTCTTTGCTACCAAATCGTTGTATTATGTCTCAGCAAAATCCAGTCACCCTCGAGTGTGTGGTGTGGTGGCTTGTTTGGTTTGGTTTTAATTGGCATTTAAAAAAGTTCCTGTTCACGTGTCAGAATCCACATTCCAATGTGACTGGGCTGCTTTTTTTTAAGTTAGGGTCAGAGCACTGAGAGTTGCAGGGTAAATGTTTTCAGTTTTCTTACTGAAAGTAGGAGTCATTTTTTTATATCGCTGGCAAGTATTTCATTGTTGGCATGTTCTGCTGCAAGTTAGCTGGTTGTCCTTAGAGAATATGTGCTTCTGAAGAGATATGCAAAAAAATTCTTCATGCACTTAGGGGTCAGAGAAAAAATGTATTATACTTTTAAAAGCAGTACATCCTTCATCAGTGGATTTACCTAAATGCAGCTTTAACAATGCCTGTAAAGATTATTGGATTATTTAGATGTGCAAAACAGGTGCAGTGGATGTGTCTATGAATTTAACCCAGAGTGTTTCTCAGCTCACACTTAAATTAGGCTTTAGTCTAATATGTGTGGATGTTTTGAATGAATATGCTTTGTTTTGCTTTACCTGTTTCTTAAGTCATCGCTATACAGCTTGCGCCTAATGAAAATGGACAGTAAGCAAGATCAGCCAAAAAAATACAATTTTTGCTTAGTGGTCATTTAATGTTTTTCTTGTTTTCATTTTGATGATAGTTGGAATGGTAACAAAACCAGCAAGTGAGCAGTCCCAGGACTTTTCAATACACAATGAAGATTTTCCAGCATTACCAGGCTCCAGCTACAAAGATCCAACATCGAGTAATGATGACAATAAATCTGTAAGTGAACCTTAAATCTTCTCTTACTTTCAGTGTTCATGCTTCTCTTGATGATTGTATTTTAAAATGGTCTGTGATTGTATTTGTAATAACAGATTTTCCAATTTAACCCTCTAAATTAATGAGAGATTTTGTATAAATAGCATTTGAAATGTAACTATGTAAATGGAATTTTTCAGCAATGTTTCTGGTCCAAAGTCACCCTGCTTGGACATGTCAAAACTTATTTTTGAGAATTTATAATACTTTTTAAGTTTGCGATTTTCTATCAGTTGTAGCTCATTTTTTTGCTACTGATGCCTGTCATCAGTAGTAGTAATCTACACATGATAAGATTTTTCTTCAAAGTTGTCCAATTGCTTTAAAAATTAGGTGGTACAATATCACACATGGAGATGTGGACTCAGCGGGAACAAGGTCTTTTAATAGAGAGCGTTGATCACTATAGTGTAGACTGGTGAGGTACATTATATCTTAAGTATCGATAAAATTATTGTGCATTAGATATATAGCTTAGAGCACAAGATTATTAGCTTTTCTTCATTGTTTACTCTGAAAGCTTTGTAATAAAAAAATGCTATTTTATGCAAATGAAAGGTGAATAAAATGTGGATATCAGAGGACACTTTCTATAGGATTTGACAAAATATTCTAGTTTCTGATCGTATTTTTTGAAATTAGAAGTAATAAAACATTAATGACAGTGGCATAAATACTGGTGAATAAGTAGTAGACATGACTACAAACTCATGTAAGAACTAGAAAATTAACTGTTCAAAAAAAAGGACATGAGAAAGTCTGGCCCCCAAGTGTTGTGGGCAGTTTTATCATCAAGAAGGTGTTCTGATACAGTTAGTACTGTGTACAGTAAGGAGAGAGAGTGAATGTGATTAACTGTATAATTGTAGACTTTTTATAAAGGATATTAAAGCATAAGAAATTATACATATGGCAAATGCATTTTGTCAGTATATAGTTTCCTGAAGCATAGTCCGTTTTCTTGCCAGACATAG